TATGATGGTATGCACACACAATTAATATTTAAGAGAAATATCAATAAAATTAGGTTTTTTAACACTTACGTTAGTAGAAAAGATGGCTGGGCACACGGGGATGGGGGGTTGGTTCCGAGGCAGAGGGCAGATTATTGGCCCTCACCTGTATCAATTGTATCACTATCCACCACAGAGGCTTGCAGGGCCTCTTTGTCAAACCCCTCAAAGTCCATATCCTCAATATCACTATCACTGTCTTGGGCTGGCTGTGGCGGGTGAAGAACTCGGTAATGTTTTGTTGACTGGGCGACCTTGTGCGCACCCTGCCTGCGCCGCTTCCCGCGTAAATGATGGAATGAAACTTGTAAATAAAAAGTTGTCAGTCTGGCAAGGTGCCGCGTAAATGACCAAACGCGTAAACCAAATCCTCGTAAACGAGACTATACTGTATTATTATTATTATAACAAATATTTTTAAGCTCAAAGGCCCCCCTGGACCCAGGGCCCCTGGACCCAGGGCCCCTGGCCAGGTCTCCTCGGGCACCGTTGTTAATGCGGCCCTGGGACAGAGGTGTACAGTATTGTTAAATTATTATTATGTGACCTCGGTTGGTCCGGCAAAATGGATAATCCGGCAAGGCTTTGGAGCCAAGGGTGCCAGAAAATCGGTGGTGTACCTGTACTTCATTACTGTCCACCACTGGAAATCTATATGTTTTTAATTTATTGTTTATTGTGATTTATAATACATTCCCTAAATACAGGTAAAACAGGTTGTACCTCTCTAGTCCGGCATTCTGTTGTCCGGAAACTCCCGTGGTCTGGAATGATTTTAGTTTGTCCAATAGAGAGATAGGCAGCTTTTTTTTTTACTTATCTGAATTATTATTATTATTACAGGAGTATTAAATTTTTGCCCTTCAGGCCCCAATGTGGGTCAGTGATCTATGCCCGTGTAGGCTAATCCCCGTAAAAAACAAAACAACAAAGCCGCGGGAAATTAAGGTTTGTTTACATCCGGCAGTTCAGCTGCTCTCTCTCTGCTTGTCTATACAGAGTACAGTAGAAGTCCAAAAATCCGGACTGCTTGGGGATTGGGTCGGTCCGGATTTTCGGATTTTCCGGATTCTCAGGCAGTACTTTTAAAATTAAAATTTAAGGAGGAATAAAGAAGAGATGAACAGGTACATTTTGATAGTTTATTCATTAGCAAATAAAGCATGCTTCATTTATCAAAACGAGCAGTTTTAAAGAAAAATAAAGTCAACACTAGACAAAAATGTAAACAAACTGTCTAATACCATGACGAGTCTTGAAATTCCTAAGCCATCCATCACTAAATGCGCACTCTGATTCAATGTTCATTTGCTCCTTAAAAGACTTTGCTTTGGCAATAAGCATCGGCCCAGAAATTGCCATACCTTCTGATCGTTTTAACAAAAACCATTCGTGCAACACTTTATCAAGATTTTCTAATTTGGGCCAATGTAAACTTTTTCTTTCAGCAATTTTAATGTAAGGCTCAGAAGAAGCTGTGAATTCTAGAATTTTATTCTTTGCCTTTTTTATATCATAAATTGTAGACTTTCCAATGTTGTATGTTTCCATTAGAACAGTATTGCTCACACCACGTTCTAGTTTCTTAATTATTTCAAGTTTGTCACTCAATTTCAATGTGTTCTTCTTTCTCTTCACACAACGAAGTTTATCTACTTTAGGGGCCATTATTATGGGCTTGTACTCTGTAAATGGATAGAGTAGGACTCAAAATTACATACGTTGTCACAGTTTGATTGCTTGTTTTAAAGTGGCGATCGTGTGGTCGTTTGTTGTCTCTGTGCAGCTGTGGCGTTCACGCATGCACACATACACACAAAAGATTTATAGTGCCTCAAATTTTACATTTCAGTTCAAGCTAATTACAAAACTAACAAAATTAGCTACCTATAATTTACAATTACTTTTATTATTAGAATTATGTAAATTAATTTTTTAAAGCAACTCCATTCATTCACATAACCCACAAAAGCCCGCTAAATTTAAAAAGTTTGAGTTTTCGAAAAGTCCGGATTCTCGGGTGGTCCGGATTCCTGGCATCCGGATTTTTGGACTTTTACTGTACATCATTTAACCCTTCAATATATATGTGCAGTAAATAAGTGTTGCTTTCATATACTTATCTAGAGTAATGACGATATGTTTTCACATGTGCGCACATACATACGCGCAGTCTCACTTTTTTTTTTACCATTAATGGTTTGCTACTTATATTGTTCCATTTATTAACATTAAATAACATTACAGGTACAGGTTGTACCTCTCTAGTCCGGCAACCTCGGGACCTGACCGGTGCCGGACCATGGAAATTGCCGTACCATGGAAATTCACCCTTTTCCTGGATAGATAGTGAATTGTGCTTATGCCTGGAAGCACTAGCACCACTTTCTCTGCGTCATGGTCTCTTTGAAGACATGTTGAAGGGTTAAATGTCGTATAGTAGCTTCTCAAATTTCGCGAGTTTTTAATTCTTAACGTATTTTATTGAAACACACAAAAAAATAAATAAATAAAAATTTTGACGGCGGAAACTTGAATTTCGACGGGTTTGAACGGCCCGCCAACGTGCAGACGACGTGCATAATCGTGTAAACAGCGTCATTTCTCTTATGTACAAGAGATTCATTATTGTTTATTACTGAATATCTTTTTTATCGAATTAATGTTTATGTGTTTAAAATGAGCAATAAAATTCATTAATAATACGTAGAATATTAAAACGCACGAGGAAATGACACAACATTGTTTTCGTTGATTACAAAACCAGTGACTGACTGGTTCTACATATAAAACTGAAGAAAATAAGACCTTGGTTGTAGCTGTAGTAAAATTAATATGGTTGTTTTAAGTAATGTTATTTAATGTTAATAAATGGAACAATAGAAGTAGCTAACGATAATGGTAAAGGAAAAAGAGATTGCATATGTAAGTGCGCACACGTGAAAACATATCGTCATTACATTACATAAGAATATGAAAGCAACACTTATTTACTGTTCATATATATTTTGATTAATGTTTCTGAATTTGTTTTTATTGAATTAATGTACGTGTGTGCAAAATTAACAATACAATTTATTAATATTACTTGGAATATTAGAGGAGACGAGACGGCTACCGGCATTGTTTTTGTTAAAGCTTACGAAACCAGTGACTGATTGGTTCTACATATAAAACTGAAGAAAATAAGACCCTGAGTTTAGCTGTAGTAAAATTAATGTAAAAAATGAATATGGTTGCTTGAAGTACCTGTAATGTTATTTAATGTTAATAAATGGAACAATATAAGTAGCTAACCATTAATGGTAAAAAAAAAAAGTGAGACTGCTCGTATGTAAGTGCGCACATGTGAAAATATATCGTCATTACTCTACATAAGAATATAAATAACTTATTTGCTGCCATATATATTGAAGGTTAAATGTTGCTTACTCTGTATATGAGCAGCAGAGAGTGCTGCGGATATAAGCAAACCTTAATTTCCGACTTTTTGAAGTTTATTGCCAGGTTATGACCCACGATGAGACACAGGGGAAAATTTAATACTCCTAGAAATAATAATGGCATTCAGATTTAAAAAAAAAAAAAAAAAAAAAAAAAAAAAAAAAAAAAAAAAAAAAGCACCCTACCTATTGGACAAACTAAAATCATTCCGGACCACGGGAGTTTCCGGACCACAGAATGCCGGACTAGAGAGGTGCAACCTGTACTTCAAACAACCATATTAATTTTTATACATTAATTTTACTACAGCTACAATCAGGGTCTTATTTTCTTCAGTTTTATATATAGAACCAATCAGTCACTGGTTTTGTAAGCTTTAACAAAAACAATGCCGGCAGCCGTCTCGTCTCCTCGTGTGTTTTAATATTCCACGTATTATTAATAAATTGTATTGTTAATTTTGCACACACGTACATTAATTCAATAAAAACAAATTCAGAAACATTAATTAAAATATATATGAACAGTAAATAAGTGTTGCTTTCATATTCTTATGTAAAGTAATGACGATATGTTTTCACGTGTTCGCATGCGCACTTACATATGCAATCTCTCTTTTTCCTTTACCATTATCGTTAGCTACTTCTATTGTTCCATTTATTAACATTAAATAACATTACTTTAAACAACCATATTAATTTTACTACAGCTACAACCAAGGTCTTATTTCTTCAGTTTTATATGTAGAACCAATCAGTCACTGGTTTTGTAATCAACGAAAGCAATGCTGCCTCATTTCCTTGTGTTTTAATATTCTACGTATTATTAATGAATTGTATTTCTCATTTTGCACACACAAACATTAATTCAATTAAAAAGACTTAAAGGAATAAACAATAATGAATCTTTTGTACATAAGAGAAATGATGCTGTTTACACGATTGTGCACGTCGTCTGAACGTTGGTGGGCCGTTCAAATCTGTCGAAATTCGAGTTTCCGCCGTCAAAATTTTTAAATGTGTTGTTTTTTTTGTGTTCAAATAGAAAACGTCGAATTAAAAACTCCTGAAATTTGAGAAGCTACTGTACGACATTTAACCCTTCAATATGTCTTCAAAGAGACCATGAAGCAGAGAAAGTGGTGCTAGTGCTTCCAAGCCAAGTCACTATCTATCCAGGAAACGGGTGAATTTCCACGGTCCGGAAATTTCCATGGTCCGGCACCGGTCAGGTCCCGAGGTAGCCGGACTAGAGAGGTACAACCTGTACTGTTGTCACATTAATTGTTTATTTATTAAATATATTCATTATGTGTTTCAAATGTTTATACAGAGAAATTAATAATATTATGGGGCAGTAGGATAATGTACCGTTACGTGTAAATATCAACTTCCTATTTAACAGGAATTTCTATGATCCAGTGCTGCCCTGGTTACAAGGTTGCCTGATAAGAGAGGGTCAACCTGTATTAGGCATCATCATTGTCTGCTATGTGTTACAGTTCCATTATTTTACAGACTCACAACTAGAGGAAGATGAGCAAGGAGACAGTAAGGCTTGTCATCATGTCAGTACGAAAACAACACGACGTGCTAGTGAAATCCTCGATGATGATCTCTTTGAAGATGATGTCCTTTCAATAATAGATGAAGTGGAATGTGAGTAAATTAAAGTTTCAATCAGAGAATTTAACATTTTAGTTAGCCACTCGTATAACCCCCAATAGTTTTTACTCAATTGTGAAAGATATATTAATTTAGGTTTTGTCTCGTACAAATTAGAAATTACTTGAAGCATATAAACAATGGTTAAATCAGAAATTTGATCATATGGGAATATTTAGACAGTAAATTGGTTGACCGTGTTTGTCCACCTAATGTTAATTTTGAAAAGAGACAACCCCCGAGGTCATTGGTGGTTTTAATCCTCTCACCAGACACTCTGAGGTTATGAATAGGTTCCGTTCCTGGAGGCTGTCTGTAAGCCAGAAGTGACCCTTCCAAAGGTAATCATTGTAAACACTTAGTACACATAATGTATTGATTGGTTGATTGATTGTGGTAATTAAGTCCCTGGCAACGAACAGCTCAAGCCATATGTCGCTGAATTAAAATACAATGGTCCCTCGGTTAACGAACGGTTCGGTTAACGAAATTTCGATTACCGTACCGTATATCTCGGCTTATAAGACGAAATTTGAACATTAAAAAAACCTGCCCAAAGTTAGGGGGTCGTCTTAAGCAACAAATATAAAATTCTTACATCTTAAATATTGTGGTTTAGTGTGTCAAGTGTGGTGATGGAAACATCGTAAGCCACTCACAAAGTCCTACCAGTAATTATTTTATACTGAAACTTACGTTTGGCAAGCTGGATTCAAATTAAGATTACCGGTATATTAAAATAATAAAAATGTATTATAAACCTGTCTTACATACCGTAAAAGAGAATTATACCCCTGTAATAAATACAGCTATCATCACACATCCCGCCCCACGCCCCCCCCATTTGCCAGTGAGGAGACAAGAAAGGGAAAGTGACCGCGAGATTGGGCTATTTTTAGCCGTGGAGGTGGTCAGTAATGCATATCAGTATATTTACTGATAATTAATAATACTTAAAATTTATTTATTTTACAAGGAATATTCAGTAAATGACTGCATTAATTCTTGAAACTACTGACAGTTAAATACAGACGCTTAAGTGACGTCACTAGTGTTTACACTACACCAGCTGGTAACATTTGATGCCATTACGTGAAGTGAATTGGCCTTATTTAAAGTAATTAACCATAAATAAATACAAAAAGTAAAAAAAAGATCAAAAGTGAGAAATAATATACTGTATGTATGTTGTGTTGTCAAAGTTAGAGGAACAATTCAAACTGCAATTGTGTGTAAATGAGGCAGAAAGTCAGGTCAGCGCTGAACCTGGGACTTGGTCACAATTTTTGTGATGCCATATGGCAGCAGGGTCTACCATTAGACAACACATTATGCTTCCAATATCTTCCCAGGCGGTAGTATCTACCTGTTTGGTAGCTGCCTACTACCTACACAATTTTTAGTAATATTACTTTGATACATGATAAATTAGACAATGAAAATAAACATCAAATTTAATTACCAAGACGCTTCCCATTGGCAGCTGTAAGAAGAGGGGGAGATGGGCTATTTTTATCCCATCTTTGTGTCTGAAGTGGCCAGTAATACCATATATTTACTGATCATAATACTTACGGTAACTCCTATAAATAATTAATTTAAAATTTATTTTTTACATAGAATATTCAGTAAATGACTTTTAAATAAATAAACAAATAATTCGGTAAATCTATTTCAAGTAAATGGAAAATAAGCAAACAAATGTTATTTACCAAGACCCTTCCCTCTGGCTCAGGGTGAGATGGAGGGGAGATAAAGAAGGCTATTTATAGCCCGTCTTTCTGTCTGACGTGACCAGTACCCTAATGCACCATAAATAATTCATTTAACATTTATTTTTTGTATATATATTTTGTTTGTATATATACAGATAGACCCCGACTTACGACGGGGTTAGGGACTCAAATCCAGGTCGTAAGTCCGACATAGATAATTTTTTTTTTTTTTTAATAAATAATCTACAATGAAATACAGTATAAAAAGTAATGAATAATGAGGAATGGATACAGTACAGTGAAAGTAATAAATAATAAGGAATGGTTTCAGTGTGACTGAGCACTTACCTTTAATGTAGTCAGCTGAATGCATAGGGCCCCATAATTTTCTAATTATACATGGAGACTACATTAACTGGAAACGTTTCGGTATAGCAAATGCGTGTGTCATTTGAAGAATTTTTTTTTTTTTTTTTAATAAAAATTCAGCAGTCGTAAGTCCCGACGGTCGTAAGTCATGTGATCAGGGAAAATGGAAACAACGGACACCTAGCTTTCGTCTTTATTCAAGACATCTTCAGAGGCAACTGATATATATATATATATATATATATATATATATATATATATATATATAT